AAAAATCTGTAGTGTGAAGAACCCCCCCTCCGCAATATACTCAGAAAAAAAAAACAAAAAAAAAGCTCAAAAAAAAAAAAAAGTTCGCGTTCGGGCCGAACGCCGGGCCTGGGGTCCCGAACGTTCGGCCGGCTACCCTGCCGTGGGGAAACAGCGCGTAATGAGGCTGATTGGGTTCTCTCTCCTCTGGTGTGTTCATGGCAGCCATGTGTCCTGGTGTAGAGACGAGAAGAGAGGGGCAAGAAGAAGATACATTGTATCGGGCAGGTGCTGGAAGGAGGGCAGCGGGGACAACTGGGGCCTGAAGGAAAAGCTGGGGCACAGGTCACGGCGGGAGGGAGGGGGAGGAAGACCTACCAAGAAAGAGGGCTGGGAGATTTGACGTGTGCAAGAAGCGTGAGGGAGTTTTATTAGGAGGAAGGGGGAAGGGAGGGAGACTGGAGAGAGAGAGAGAGAGAGAGAGAGAGAGAGAGAGAGAGAGAGAGAGAGAGAGAGAGAGAGAGAGAGAGAGAGATTGTGTGAAGGCTGTCTCTTATACACATCTAGATGTGTATAAGAGACAGTAGTAATACAGAACAGGGGGCAACAAAACAGATCCCAGATGACAAGTCCCACATGCAAGCACCGCCCCGAACTTCACAGGCCAAACGACCTGACAAGACCAACCAGGATATCAAAACACTCTCGTCTGCAAAAAAAGAAATCCCAAATACATACGTATGTATATACAGCAGATGATTGTTTATATACTTATACGGTGAAACACATCTGGTGATCATTTGACCACACAGCATGTTTGATTAATCTGTGTTGAAATCTGTGCATGAATGGGCCTCGCTTCCCTACTCAGATGCACAAAAAAAGACGAAATGTCGCGGTGCATCTTCCTTCCGCCATTTTCTAGCGGAAGATGTATTCCTTTTTTTTTTTTTTCTCGTTTCGGTCATTTGGTGAGTAGGGGAGCGAGGCCCAATGATGACTGATGCATGCACGTGGGAGGGATCACCATCATCTGTCACTCAGGGCCTCTCGCCACACAACTCTCGAAATGTGAAAAAGACAAAAATGTGGCGGGTGCATCTGGCCATGTTCTAGCGGAAGGTTCATTCGCATTTTGCACATTTCTCGAGTGGTGTGGCGATGCCCTCACTTGTACTGTGTTGTGTGCCTGCTCTCAGAGTGAACGGAATTAAGGTGTGTATGTGTACACACTTTCCGTAGAAATACTATACCGTGGAGGCAGGGCCGAACGTTGGGCCGTTCGGGGAGGGGTTCTGGCCCCGCCAAACCTCATTTCGGGGCCTTTTTTTTTCCGTTTTTTTTTTTTTTTTTGTGTGTGTGTGTAGATAGGCCACGTCGTGGCGCACCGACCTCTAAAATTTCGCTATGATCTGGGTTGGGGTCGCCTGGATGTGGCCCCTATCAATCAATCAATTAATACTGTATGAAAAACAAGCAAAAAAATATGGACAAAATCAAGGGAGGCTCCATTCTTGTTTTCACCTCTAAAAAAAAGAAAGTTCGTAGAAGATAGGGGGGGTTCCCCGTAATACTATAATGACAATAAAAAAGGCCTGAAAGGCCGTCCTGTCCAGATTTGACAGGTGATTGAATTGGTTGGGCTTCAAAGAGTTAGCCTTTCAAAAAAAAAAAAAAAAAAAAAAGAATGGAACCTCGCTTTTGATGGTCCTTTTTTTGGGTTGTTTTTCATATATATTAATTTATTTATTGATTGCTTGATTGATTAATTGGTTGGGTCGGGGTCGCTCCTTCCCAGCGGGCCTCAACCAATCAATCAATCAATCACATAACATCGCGTTTTTTTGGTTCAACTTCTTGTCGTTTTCGATTGATTGGTTGATTGATTGGTTGATTGATTGGTGTGTTGGGGGGGGGGTGTTGCCCCCCGCGCACACACGCACACACGGGAGCGCGAACGCGCTTTTTTTTTCACTTTTTATTTTTGTTTGATTGGTTGGTGATTGATTGATTGATTGATTGGGTTGGGGGGGTTCGGACCCCGCACGCGCGCACACACACACAAAAAAAAAAAAAAAAAA